TCACCAGAGCCTACAAAGGGGACCACCCTAAAACGCCTACCCCGGCTAACACGAGATAACCAACCTCTATTCAGTAGACATTCATGGCTACACACCAATTTGACCTTTGACACTATAACAACAGTAGTTTGATACAGTTTTCTTACAACAGACACTTAAGGCTCTGATACCAAAAATGGTTCAGGGCAAGGGTCGTGTGGAAGAAGGGAAGAGTGTATGTCAAAGATAACAAAAGAATATTGAAATAAGAGATTGATTTATTGAAAATATTGAAGATAACAAAGAATAAAAAATTATAAGAATTTCAAACTTTCTTGAGATGGTAAAAATAAATCTTAGCTATTTTTGCTCTGTCTAAAACCTCATAATGAAGCTCAATATATAGCTGAAGTTGCCGACTTGAAATTACATTGAATTGTAAAAATAAGAATTTTGAATAGTTGATTGATTGAAGTTGTCTCCCATGTGTTGTTTGCCACCTATTTGTTTGCTTTTGAAATTATTGTCCTTCATTTCCGGCTTTTTGAAAGATTCTTTATTAAAGTGGCTTTAATAAAGTTGATTGTCCTTTGTATGGCAAGGCTGGCAAGCACATATTGAAGAGCATTTCTTTTGATTTTTGAACCCGGTAATTTCGGAGATCATCGAGAAAACTGGGTCCATGTAGTCATATTTTGGGGTTTCTTCTTCAATAAGGTCATCAATATTATAACTATAGCACATGTGTATATTGATTTGTTCATAATCTTCTGAGTCTGAAGAAGAAGAATTTGAACTTGATTTCTTTGAAGATACTTCTGTAAGGGCTGCAATTTTGTCTGAAACCATTTGAAGTTCTTCTGGTGTAGAACATTGATTGAACATTACTAAAAGCCTAGATTTTTCTGCAAAGAAATCGGCTTTTTTATCTGATTCTTTTTTAGATAATTTTGGCATACAAAAATTCTTTTATTCTTGAATCCATGAATTTACTGCTTTAGGACAATAATTTGTTTCATGGAATTTTGACCACTATTTAATTTTGAAACGTCTAACAATTCTTTTGACGTTGTATTCTTTGTATTCTGGCGGATGCTGATTTTGCATTAAATGGAAATCCAAGCAGAATATCCATGATATTTTGAAGTTATGAGCAAATTGAAACAATGGTTTTCTTGAGGCTTCAAAAAGGTTTTTGTCTCATTTTTGAAGTGTTCGAATCCTTGACGAGTAAGACTGGGCAAGTTAGTTTCGTCAAGACCAAAAAACTTAAACCAATTTTGAAACCATTTTGGAAAATTTGATGGGCAATTTTGATGAAAAAGTATAAACCAAGAATGCGTTACTTGTCTAAAGAAGAAAACATTGAACCACGCTTTTTTGTAGTCCAAATAATAAAATTTTGATTCAAATGAATCTGTTTTTGAAATGTTCATTTGCTTATCTTCCCAAGGGTATAGTGCTCAGTCTTTGTAAGACCAAATCCTTTGGATAGATATTTTTGAAAAATCAATATGTTTTGGATTGTTATTGTTTGGAGTGTGAGTAATAATGATAGATCCTGTTTTGATGAGGATCATTTCATAATACTTACGAGATTTTTTGATGTTTGATGGGAGGAAACGGAAATTTGGAGAGACAAAATCTTGAAGGTGTTCTTCGAGGGAAGAAGTTGTTTGAGCCCATGATGTTTCCATTTCAAAAATAGGAAGATGGACGGGTTTTATGAAGTATGAAAATGATTTTGGAGGGTTAATATCTGGTAATTTTCTAGAACCAATTCGAAGGGCTTTGCGATGGTTTGAGGATTTATTTTCTGAAATTGTTTGAGTAGGGTTTTGGAACGTTTTTGATGCAAGTGTTGCATTTTGAGAACTAGAGGATACTTCTTTTGATCCTCTAAAGGAATTTTAAATATAATCATCAATTGAAGTAAGAAGAATTTGAACTTTCTTTGTGTTCTTCTTTTTCTCTGAAGAACTGATTTTTTACTTACTTTATTGGTAAGAATTCTCTCGTAAGGAAATTTGCAAGAAAGTTTGAAGAACCTTGTATATCTAGAATTTGAAAATCAAAGTAAGATAGAATTGCTTGCCATCTTGCAAAAATTTGTTTTGAAACAAGGTTTTTAACATCTTTTTGCAAAACATCTTTTGAAGCTTTACGATCAGTTTTGAGAATAAAATTTTTATTGATAAGATCATCTTGAAATTTTGAAATCACAAGGAAGATTGCGAGAATCTCCTTTTTTATTGTGGAGTAATTCTTAAGGACCAATCCAAACACCTAAGTAGAATGTGACTAATTGTTCTTTGCTTCAATTTGAAGGGACATGTTTTAGGACACCACCGTACCCAATGTCTGGCGCATCTGTCTCCACAATAATAGAGTTAGTAGGACCAAGGATTGAAAGACGTGGTATACTTTTGATTGTTTTTTTTTTTTTATTTTTTAGACTGCTAAGGTACACTCGTGATTTCAAGGGTCTGGTAGCTTTTGCAGCCTTTTGAAAAGAGTGGCACATAAAATTCTATCTCTTTGATAAAGTCTCCTACATAATTGACACAACCAAGAATTTTTTGTCTAAAATTTCATCAGGAAATTTGTCGGTGAAATCTAGACTTCTTTGAATTGGTGTAAGTGTTCTTAAATGAATGGTATGGCCAAGGAACTTTATCTTAGTTTGACATAAAACAACTTTCTTAACTGAAACAGCTAAATCATTTCGTTTTACAACATGAATGAATGTATGCAAATATTTGAAATGTTGTTCTAAACTTTCTGAAAAGATTAAAACATCATCAACGTAAACAATAATGAAATTTTGAAATGGATTGAAAATATCGTTTATAATTTTTTGAAATTCAGAAGTGATATTTTTTAGACCAAAATGTATAACATTCCATTCATATTATCCAAAGAGAATGTTAAAAGCAATTTTGTATCTGTCTTTTTCTTTAATTTGAATTTGTCAAAATCCTAACTTCATATCAAATTTTGAGAAGATAACAACTTTGAATAATCTGTTTAACAGATCTTTCTTTTGAGATAGAGGATAGCGAATCCATTGAAGAGATCACTAAACGAGGAACTCCTTGTTCAATTTCAGTAGAA